GAAAGGGGCCCAGCAAAGGGAGAAGAGGTGCACACACCTCCCGATTCCAGAGCGTAGTCCACCATCCCGATGCGGTCCTCGCTGTAGCGCTTCAGAGCCTGGTTTACGATACGGTGCACCTGCTAAAACACAGGCGCCCCGAGCTGCTGTGACGGGAAGCAGACTCGTCCACCTCTGTGGCCCCACTTTTAGGGGCCAGGAACCCCTGGACTCAGCCCTCCTGTGCCTGCACCATGCTGCAGTCCAGACACGTGCCGCTTGCTCAGGCATACACCTCCACCCTTCCACACCAGCCCCAAAGCAAACATCGGAGCCTCCTGGATGTCACTTAGGTCACAGAACAGGCCAGGGAGCTGGCAGTGTGGGACTGTGCAGCTCTGTGGCTCCCAGGGAGGAAAGCAGTGCGTGTGTGCTGGGTGGATTAGCCATTGCGGGGGGCAGGGGTGTCCAGGGGCATCCAGTCCTCACCTCCTCTGTCACCCCAATGACGCCCTCCTCCTGCAGCGTCAGCCCCAGGCTGGCCACGGCCTCACTCGCTGACTTGCCCTGCATCTCGGCCACGTGGGCAAGGATCTTGCTCTCCAGCTCCTGCAGCTGAGCTTGCATCTCCTCTCGCTGAAGGAGCCCAGTGCGGCTTCCCCCACCTCGAAGAAGGAACTGACTGACCCAGGCAGGGAACTGAGACTCCACCTAGGGACCAAGAAAAGGTCTCACTCTGGGAGGCTCACAGTGGAAGCTGCCACAGCAGAGCCCTGGCCAGGGTGGGGTGGCGCCTGGCTTGGGTAGAGGGGACAGGGAGCGAGGACAGGCCTGCGAGGGGAGGGCCGGCATGTGCCTGCTCAGGCCACAAGGAGGAAAGAGTTATGAACAACCCTCCATGTTATCAATGAGAAAAGAGGAAGAACTTCTGTCAAAGAAAGCCAGCACCTGTGCCGAGTCCAGAGCAGGGGGCAAGAGGCTCTTTGCCTTGCAGACTGCTAGGACCGTCTCAGAGGAGGGGTATTCAGCAAGGGACGTGGATGGTTCCAACTCACATCGTCCCGCACAGCCTGCAGTTGCTGGGGCAGCAGGCCCACTTGGTCCTCCACCGAGCTCTGCTTCAGGGTCAGGGCTGCCAGTTCCTGCCGCAGGCCTTCCAGCTGGACCCCCAGCCGCCCCAGCTCCTTCATGGAACTCTCCCGAAAGGACTCCTGGGCCATCCTACTCCCAGAGAGAGAAGAAAGAGTAAGCCTTGGATCTCTGGTGAGGGGTAAGGCTATGCTGAGGAGAACAAGAGGATCCCCTAGTTGGCACCTGATAAAAGTGTGTGCCCACCACTCACTGGTGAGTGCAAGGCTCACTCTTGGAGGTTCTGGCTGTAGAACATAGCTCCGGTGCCTATGACTTGGCTTGCATATCCCAAGGAGCTAATTATTACAGTATCCCATTTCCCTTCTAAGCCCAGATCCATAATTCACTCTGCCTCAGCTCTCACATCCTCCACAAGTACAGGTATCTGGGGCATGGGAAGGCAGCCGGCATGAGGTTGTACAGAAAAGACGGTACATCTGTAAGTGAACCCATGAATCCCAATTCTCTTGCAATGCCTGCAACCCCTGCCGGACCTCCACCGCACCTCAAGGACAGGCTCTGAGCAGGTGATCCTGAGCTAGGTTTCAGCCATCTCCCTCTCTGCTTGGGACACAATCAGAATTCTGCTCCAGGGCTCTGCTCCCCACTCCTAGCTGGGGGTGGGAATGGGGAGGCTGGGGCTGAGCAGGCCTGGGACAGATGGCAGTGCGCGTTACCTTTGCCACTCAGACTTCAGCTCCTGGAGTCGAGCCTCAGACTCCTATAAGCAGAAAGAAGGGACCAATATAAGAAATGTCAGGCTCAGAGCAGTCAGTCTCCCAGAGCAGGATCTGTTCCCTTTGGGGTCTTTGCTTAACCACATCCCCACCCCAGGGCCTCCTGACTGATCTAGCAAACGTCAAACTGGCCTCCTGGTTGAGGTCCTTATGGGAGTCTCGGCCCATGTCTATCGTGCTTAGGCGTCCACCCGTTCACTCGTTCATTCAGCATGTATACCCAGCACAACAGGCCACTTGAAAGTAGCCCTTCCTGTCCTCAGGCCTGATCCCAGGGCGTCCCTGCAGACTGTTCCAGCCCAGGTGGATTCAGTTCAAGCAGAAGTCAGGGGACTACACACCCTTCTCCCCGTTCTGCATCTAAGCACCCTCAGGGGCCAAGGTGTCTCTGTGAGCCCAAGAACAGATGATGAATTCGATCAGCGCCCCACCGCAGGCTCCAAGTGCCCCCAAGCCCACCAACCTGCGAGGCCCGGACAATCTTCTTGAAGAGGTCTTCTGAGTCCTGTTGATGCTCTGCTCTCAGGGTGACCAGTTCTTCCTATCAGGCATAGGAGAGAGGCTAAGGATTTTACTGAGACGTGCTCAGAGGCCGCCTTCAACCAGTAAGTGGTGTAACCGGAATTCGAACCAGGCCTGTTTGATTGCAAACTTCAGCTCCTGGCCTTTCTGCTACAGTGCTTCTTGGAAACACGCAAGACTTCTCTTGGTCTTTACTGCACACCTGCATGGTGTGCCACACCTACATGGGCATTGTGCCAGGCGCACTACAATCTCATGTTCTCACAACCAGGGGCGGGGCAGACAGGAGAGTCTCCATTTTAAAGAGGAGGACACTAAGTCTTAGAGAAGGTAATTGCCACGTGGTAGAGCCGTCTGACCCTGAATGACACACTGCCGTCTCCCTCATGTCAGGGTGCAGGGCCTTGCCCCCTCCACCCCACACACCCATGGTGTCAGCCACACGGGCCCCTCAGCTCCCCTCCCCGACCTGGATCTGAGCAGTGGTGTCCCTGCGGAAGTCCTCCTTCAAGGCAGCCTCGCGGCGGCTCACCAGCCCCTCCAGGAGCGCCAGGGTGTCCTCGTGGCTCAGGCTGCCGCTGCCCCCCTGCCCTCCAGCCCCCTGCCGCAGCTCCAAGCGTTCCAGCCGCATGGCCTCCTTCTGCCAGCTGGAGGAAAATTCGGCAGCAAGAGCTTCCAGGCGCCGCTCCAGAGAGTGTACCCGGGACAGAATGCGCTGCTCAGCCTGGCAGGACGGGGAGGGAAAAGCCACAGAGGTTAGGGACTTATGAAAACAGGGCTTCCTAAAGAGGAAGGGAAGAGAATCCCAGAAACACCCAAATGAAATTATAAAACAGTCTGTCGACTGTCAGTTAAAAGGCACGAGCCTAGTGAGTACAGAGGTTGGGCTTCTGACTTGCAAAAATTCCATTTTTAAACTAGGCAGTACTTGCATGACTCAAAAAGCAAGCAAACAGCAAAAACTCATGCTCCTAACCTCTGCCCCATCCACCCAGAGCCCTCACCACCAACCCTTCCCAAACCAGGCAACTATTTTTATTAGTGTCTTTATGCAGATGAAAGTAAATACGAAGATATGTCATTCTTTACTTCCCCCGTTTTACAGAAAAGGTGGTCCTGAAATTGAGTTATCTTTACTAGTGATTAAAAAAAAAAGTTAAAGATGCCAGAACACATCATTATTTTGTGAAATAATAAAATCAGGGTCAGGGAAGTAATATCTACCAAAATAAATGGTTAAAAATGTGGGAACAAATTAAATTCAGCAGG